TTGCTAATAGGGATGATAATATCGGTCCCTTCAACCCGCGAGACCAAAGGATTCATTAGAAACGGCTCGTAGTTATCGAAGAAGGCAAGGCGATCGCGCCCAAACACCTCTGAGCTCTGCTTATACGTCTCGAAGAGCTCTGTGACCTTTCGCGCAGCATGCAATATGTCGACGGCGTAGTATAGCGGTGTAAGGCTGGCAGGAGCTTCACGAGTTCGTAGGTAAAGGCGCGTGGAATTTGCTATTAACTTTGATCTCCTTCGGCTTTGCAGGCTGCTATGAGGGTGAAGCCGTCTAGGTTGATGGACCAAGACTTTTCCAGGGCAGCGTTTCCGAAGAATGACTCAGTAGATGGCTCAGTTGATTCCTCAGCGGATGTCTCATCATTTGCCTCTTCGGGTGCCTCCTCGCCCGCCTCGCCTTCATCCAGACCGTCCTCCCAATCCGCTGGTGAGTGAACCCGCTGATCATTTCTCCAGGAACTACCAGAGTAGCAACTATCTAAAACGGCAATGACCTGGACACTTTTCTTATTGAGACGCTTCAGCCACTTGTTCAGCTCCCAGCCCCGCACCGGCGGCTCGTTGAGGCAAAATTCGGCCGTGAGCAGCGATGGGTCTGGGCGCCGGCCCGCCGGCGACCCGGCGACCCGGGGCAGCAGGCCGCCGTGGCCCGAGTACGGAGAGCATCCTTGTTGAACATGCGCCTCGCATGGATAATTCTGTTCTTTCTTGCGACATTTGTCTCGACGAGTTGTTGCTGGATCGGTGTAATCCGAGACGGGTCGAGAATCTACGTACGAATTACGATTCTGCTGGATTGGGTTATCTAATAAATAGAAAGTTAGCAATTAAGTTCGCTAAATAGGTGTTGCTTGTATAGGCTGATTTAAGTCAGGAAGGAAAAGTGCTTCTTCAGTTCTATATACTCATTGTCGTCCATGTAAGTCTAGAGATACTTGTCAGCTTTCAAGTATCTTAGTTTTGTACCTGATTTTTGATTGCGATGGAAATCCTCGCTAATAGACTGAGGTTAGTTTTGATGAAGAATCTGGGGCTAGAATCTTCAGAGAACGGGGGTTGCTGGTAGGGCTATCTACGCCTTGCCTTCAGTCCCTTCATCCGATAACTCGGACCACGGAGAATAAGTCGAGCTGCTATTGGACTCGGATGTCTCTTCATCCGTTTCATTTTTATCGGCGGTCGTATCTGGCTTTTGATGCTCATTCGACGATGACGATGACAACTATCTTGATTTCATGGTCCAGATTTTTGGGAAGCTGCCGGAGCCTTGGTGGTCTATGACCTGGGAGGCGTGAAAGACATTCTGGAAAGATGAATTGGATGAGCAAGGTCGCGCCATCCCTAAAGGGGAAGGTCCTGCAGAGCCGACTGCTGGCATTGCACGTATCGTTCATCCATCGGTTGCGCATGGTACACGATCGATGGCAGAGAAACTTCGCCCTGGGCTTTGGTACTTGTCGGACAATATCCATCGTGATATCCCTCACTTGGAGATTGATGTCTTCTGAGATCTTCTCGGGCATCTGTTGAAGTATAACCCCGAAGACCGCACGAGCGCATCAGCAGCCCTGGATCACAAGTGGTTTACCCTATAGATATTCTTCCATTGCTGGGCCTAGGAGGGCTTACGGCCTCTCTACCACATTTTCTGCTGAAGTTTATGCCCGAAAGCAGCGATACTATGAACTTGCTCTATATTAGAGTCTCAAAACTGGGATCCTGCTAGATTGGCCCTCTATCTCCTTGCTCGATCCCAGTCGTTCTGCTCTCGTCGACCGACTTCGACAGACCAGACAGGTGCGTAACTCTCCAAGATTGTGATGGATTTCTCCACCATCAGCCTATATCCAACGATCAGGTCTACCGTAAACACCTCATGAAAATCTATTTTGTCTTCCGAGAGGTCACGACCCAGCGCGGGTCGAAGCAGATCAAGAGCCGTGTTCCCATGTTGGTCCCTAATGTGTCGGTCTACACCCAAATCTAATAGCCTTACTAACGAGGCCGGCCCGCCTTTGAGAAAAGCCACGAACTCTTGGCGTAAGCAGTATTTAGAACGCCCAATGGACACAATTGTAGAAACGAAATGATGTAGACTCGTCTGTCCCGCTCCGCAAACCACGTTGATAAGAGACTGGCCATTGTGCAATATGATTTTGATTGCGTTGCTCCCTGAAATGAAACCTGAGAAGAATTTGCTGCTGGCCGCAAAGTGCAGTGGTATTTGGCCACTGAAGTTGGGTTTGCGCGGATCAACGCCCGCTCGAAGTGCCATGTCGAGCTTTGAAGTCCATATATCCACAGGGGAATAATCAGCTGAGCCAATTATTCTGAACAGCAAAGTGCATCCATCTTCGTCAGTGGCGTTCATATCGACCGACCATTCTTCTAGAAGGTTGATCGCCCCTTGAAATTCGTGGGTATCCTCCATGGGAACGATAGCCTCGAGCAGTCCCCAATGGTCGTCGATGCAGGCATGCCACTCGGAAACAAAAGTGCGAGCAAGCTCTAGATTCGACCGTTTCAACGTCCAGATCAGGGGATCCCCAAGATTCACGTCCCAGCCATGTTCCTCAATGAGGAAACGACAGGCATCTTCTCCTTTGAATGCGACGAGGTCTCTGAGAACTCTGAGAGGCTGGTTACGAGGGTCGAGGCACTTCTTACCACCCTTCGTCGCTGCCAGCTGGTGCCATGCGTTTGGCCCACAGAGCTGGAGGGCCACCACAAAGATCGGGTCATGATCGTCGCTGACAGCTCCAGGATCTGCACCAGCATCAAGAAGAAGCTTGGCAATGTCCTCTCGCCTGTGTCGATAAGCGTAATGAAGTGGCGGACATCCATATCCTTTATAAAACCCACCCCACCTCGTTGTCAGATCGCTCATGAAGCCAACCCGATTTCTCACCTGCCTTCGATGGAGGCACCACTTGGCCAAATTCTTCAGACCCAGAATACAAGCCATATGTAGCAACGGAATTGTGGGGAGATCATGCGATCTATCGTAAGAAAAATAAAGAGCCTCATTTCTTATTGCTGAATCTTTCCCAAAGAATCGCGGATTTCGCTCGATCAATCCAGACACCTCATCCAACTCTCTGAAGTGGTCACTCCAGTGCCTACGGGCATAAGTGAAAAGAGGTGATTCGACCGCGAAGATTTTGTCGTTCCAACGTTCGATGCAAGCCTCGCGATCAGATAGATACATCGTCAACTGACTTGAAATGGCTCCGTGCAATCGCTTTGTGAGCCCAGCTTGACATTTTGAGCCAGTCATGTGGTTGGATTTAGTGAAATAGTCCTTGGCGCTTTGATGGAGAAAAGTAACCTCAAGTAGCCAATAGTCGAGCATATGATTTCGAAGAGGGTCTATAGTCCATGGAAATGTCCTTTCGTCGCTCCAAACCATTTCTGGGTTTTTAGTGGTTTGAAGCAGGTGCCCGCATGACTTAATCAAAGCTATGCACACCTGCTCACGGCTGAGCAAGCCCGTCGCCTCCAAGCCGACAGCTTCGCATAGCTCTGGCACTCTCAGCGGGCGTACAGCGACTCGGATCCAGTCTATCATCTTGGACAGAATCTCCATCTTATCAGGTTTGATGTGTGAGAGAATTCTCTCATATACTGCATCAAGCCCTTGGGGGAGTAGCTTCAACGAAGATTCGATTTCCTCAATCGACTTTCTCTCAAGATCCTGGGCCATGAAGCTAATCCATAGGAAGGTGCCTTCAGACCTTTCCTCAAAGGACTGCTGAATGTGGAGTTGCAGATTGGAGTTGATGGGCTTTTTTTGGGCGAGCTGAGAGACGCGTTGTGATATGAAGCGTCGGGTATCCTCCTTTCCAGCGGGTATTAGATCCAACTTCAGCGTCGAAAAAGACGAAAGAGCTGCTGGGATATTTTCTGGATATCTTCTGCTGAGGCAGATAAGCTTCATCTTGGAAGTCGATGTGTTGGGGCTTCTGCTAAGCATTTCGAATTTTCGGAGAAGATTTGCAAGAGAGCTCTCTTCGCATTCATCTAGCGCGTCGATAATGCAATGAACCGTTTTCGCTTGGATCTTGTTGACCATTTCCTCAAAGAATTTCCACAGCGTATTCAAGGAGTTCCCCTGGAACAAGTTTGATGATTGTATCTTCCACAGTGGCATCATGATGTGTATAAGGTCATTCTGGTGCATGACCAATTGATACAAAAGTCCTCGTAAAATATTCATCGCCGTGTTTCGAGACGCCACTTTGTTGTCGCAGAAGAAGAAAAGTACTAGAGTGTCTGACTGTGCAGCAAACCGCTCGAGATGTCTGCTGAGATAGATGGATATGTAGGTCTTACCCATGCCAGGCGGTGCAGATATCCAAAGCAGATGGGGAGCCTGTTGATACCACTTGTTGAACTCCTGAGTTGATGTAATCCACTCACAAGTCCCTGCACAGATCTCTCCTTTGGCATCGATCATATCCTCTCGATCTCGTGTTGGGTCTGTTACGAAGAGTGACCGCAAGCACTGATCCTCATCGGATTCAGCCTGATTCGATATCTTGAGTTCCTGAATATCTGATCGAATTTGGCGTTGTTGGTTGCTAGAATACTATTAGATCTCCATCGGACGGTGATTGCTCAACGCTCTACTCACAGGTTCTCAACACCAATTTCTAGAGTAAGGGCCGACTTGATACGCTCAAGTTCCTCAAAGAAGTTGCGCAACTCAGTCTCCTTCGTCTTTCCAATTACTGCCCTCCATGTTCTTTGAACAAGCGGGTCATTCGCGGAGAAATGCAACTCGTCAAGAGTGCCATGAAGCTGTTGGCTGGTTGACAAGCAGCTTCTCATAAGAAACCCTACCTCCGGGGTTTGGAGCTCCGGGCAACTTTCGATGTTGGAAACAATGGCTCGTAGTCCATCAATCTGTTGAAGCCATTTGGGAACCTGCTCGGGGACGTTCTGGAGCTGGTCGTAGATGTCTTTGCCGGTCTTGGCAATTTTCAAGGCTAATCCCGCAAATTGGGCCGCTGCCGCTGCAATGCCGAGCACCTCAGCCATCTGGACGAGACTCCAAGTCTCAGGTCAATAGCAGTGTAAAACTGCCTGGAATTGCAAGGCCAATGATGTCGCGGGTGGAACAAGAATGTGAAGAGGACGACGCTGGGAGATGAAGATTAGAGATTGCGGCTGAGGATGCAGCGCAGCGATGCGGGGTCGACACGCGTGTAAGGCTCCCAGCAAGCCTCCCAGCCTGATCATGCATATAACCGTTGCGAGCTCTGGTTCTGTCGTCACGAGCTCTGATTCTGTGAGGCATCTGATTGGGTGTGTGTATTGTCTTGAGTTGCATATGATCTCCGCTCTTAGTCCCTCTACATCCTTATACTGAAACCAGCTATAAGGATATAGCTATGGCCGTCACACGCCATATACACGCCCAGCTACCCAAAATACACATCGTGACATCTGTGAGGCATCTGATTGGGTGTGTGTTGGATTGACCTCTCGTGTGACGGACTAGGGTCCGGATAAGAACAACCCTCTGATATATCAATATCCTGTGTTAGTTATAGGGTGTGAGATTGACCTAAAAACCCCTCATAGAAAAAGAGGGGGCAAGAGGCATCCTAGAACACACACACATCAACATCATCATCACTGCTTTGAAGACCATCCATTTAGGCAAATTGTCCGTAACGGATCCATTAATTGACCCAAAAACCCCTTATAGGAAAGAGGGGGCAGGAGGGATCCTAGATCATACACACATCAATACCATCATCTTCGGGCTCCACTGCTTTAGTCCCTATCATCCTGATTGAATAAGCTGTATCGGATCTAACAGTTAGTATTGGATCCGTTACGGTCAATTCAATCAAATAGATAGGGATCAATACAGTAATGATAATGTTTATTATTGCTTGTACCAGTTATCTAGATTGGCCGGAAGAGGGGTTATTATACCCCCTCTTCTAACTAAGGTTAGGATATTAATCTATCTAAGGTTTTATTATATAGAGTTATTATCTAATATATAGTATTTATTGTAATCTATACAGCTAAATTAATAAATGGAATTATGTTTAATTTAATAATAATATCTAATAATAATATTATTAATAATATTAATAATATTATTCTCTTTATTATTTAAATTTACTAAAAGAAAAATTATAAAGTCTTCTTTTAAGTAAAGTTAGAATATTAAGTAAAAAAGTAAGTAAAAAATACTAAGAATATATAACCTACTTAAAGATAAAGTCATAATAACTATAATAATATTATATTAAAAAAGTTAAAAAAAGTTAGATTTGGAATTTAAATAAATTAAATAGCTAGATAAAGTAAATAGCTTTTTTAGCTAATATTATTTAATTAAATAAATCTTTAATAAGTTATTAAAGAATAAATTAAAAGATTATTAATTAAAAAGATTAATAAAATCTTAAAAAAATAATACTTTTTTTTTATTTAAAAAGTTTTATTTAAGATTTTTTTAATTTATAATTATAGTAAATTTAGCTATTAATTTTATTTAATATAGTATTTTCTATTAAAGAAATTTATTAATTTTAACTTTAATAATTATAAGTATTTAATAAAATAATTTTTATTTTTAAAAATTAAAAAGTCTTAATTTAATATTAATTTATTAAAAGTTTTATTATATAAAGTTATATTTTAATAATATTAATAGATATTAATATTAAAATATTACTTAAAATATTATATTACTTTATATATATTAAAATAGTAATAAAATATATAAAATACTCTTAATTAAAAATTATATATTTATAAGTTAAAAAGTTATTATTATAATTATATTATTTATATATTAATTTATTACTATAGTTATTTTTAATATTATATAATATATATAAATTTTATATAAGTATTTATTATTTTTTTAAGCTTTTAACTTTTTATTTTTATTTTTATATTATTTAAAAGAAACTTATAAATTAAATAATTATAATTAAATAATATTTTTTAATAAGAAGATTTAATATTTAAATATTTATTATATTTTTATTATATATATATTATAGTTATTATAAGTTAAGTTTTAAGTTTTAAGCTAATTTTTTTTTTTATTAAAATTTTATTTAACTTTTTTAACTTTAATTTTAATAAATATATTAAAAAGTTTTATAATTTAACTTATAAAATATCTTAAAATTTAAATTATTTAAATTTTCTTTTTAATTAATATTTTATATAGCTAGTATTTATATTAACTTAATATAATATAATAACTTTAAAAATTAAAAATTATATTAAGCTTTAATAATATTTTAAAAAAAATTTAATTTTTTAAATTAAAATTATTAATATTTTTAATTAAATTATAAAATAAAATTATTTTTATTTAAATATATAAAATAAAATTATAAATAAAAATTTAATTTTTTTATTTATTAATTTTAATTTTATTATTAAAAAATAAATAATATTTAAAAATAATTAGTATAATTTATTAATTTTTATTTAAATATTTATTTATTTAATATATATTATTTTATTTTTATTAAGATTTATAGAATTCTTACTATTTTACTAAATAAGAAAAAACTATATACTTAAATATTAAATAAAAACCCTACTCTTTTTACTTTAATTTTACTACTTTATATATCTATAAGGTTATTATAATAAATATTGAAAATTTACACACGAGACGAGATCATCGAGATCTCAGCGGTCTCTTACCTAAAATCCAATCGGACATCAGAATCGAAATCAGCACGAAAATCTACCCAGGTTGCGATGCCGCAGCGGCAGCCGCAGGGCACCGCTGAGGTGGAGGAGCCGATGGCGGTGGATTCGGGCCGTGCTGGCCTCGAAAACAGCAGCTTCCACCCCAACGCGGGCGCTTCCCAGTACGGGCAGCGTCAACGAAACGACATCGCGACGGACTCGCCTAACGAAGAAGCGACTGCTAGAGACACCGACGAAGAGAAGGCACTCGAAGAATTGTCCGGCCTTGTCCAGGGGGAAATTCTTGACAAAGTATGGAGAATCGTCCGCTCCCTTGCCGACGCGAAGATTCTGCGCCACCGCAGCGACACCGCCGAGACCACCCTAACACGCTCTGAACTCGAAGAAACGATCTACAAAGTCGTACAAGATGCCATCCGAGACACCCGAGCCGCTCCCGACGCGCAACCGCAGCGATCATGGCGAAGTCGCGGCGACCAGACGCGACGCCTACACCCCCCCCAAAGCCCGTCCCCGCCCGACACGACCGCGAAATCACGGTGAAGCAAAACAACCCCCCCGACGAGATACGCACACGAACCCCCACCGAAACCGTAACGGCAGTCAACCTAGCTATTGGAGAACCAAAAGCCGCAGCAGCAGCCCGCCGCCTCCAAAGCGGCGACACAATCATCACCTTCCACGGCCCGGCGGCCAAATACATCGCGGCGGACAACTGGGTCCCCAAGGCCTTTGGAGACAACGCATCGATATCGAAGAGAACCTACAGCGTCATGATAAAAGGCATGCCGGCCGAATGTCAGAGAGTCGACCGCGACACCCTCTGCAAGGAAATAGGGGAGGAGAACGACGTCACGGTCATCAGAATAACCCCGGTACGAAGCCGCAAGGATACCGCAACGAGAATCGGAATGATCCTAGCAGTAGACAGTGTATCGGCCGCCAACCAGCTATGCGACAGAGGACTAGTGCACAACTCGATGATAATGGACTGCGAACCCTTTGAGGAGTCGCTGCGGCCGAAGCAATGCTTTAACTGCTACAAGATGGGCCACATCGCCAGATTCTGCAGAGAGGAAGCCCGTTGCGGACGCTGCGGCACCGCAGCACACCCGGAAGGGGAGAAGGAATGCCCGCTGGCACCCGATAAAGCTGCGAAATGTCTAGGATGCCAAGGCGACCACCCAGCGTGGTCGAGACAGTGCCCTGCAGTAAATAGCCACTGGCAACGAGCAATCCGGGCCTACCCACACAGACCCAGACGATTCGAAGACAGGCAGAACCCGCAGCGACACCCCGAAGCCCCCGCCCGCAGCTGGCCGAACCCAGAAGACTATGGACTCCAAACCCTCTCCCACCAGAAGAGAGGCCCCGGCCGCCCCCCAGGCACAAGCCGAGCAGCCAAGGTAGCCAGAACGGGCCCCAACGCCATCGCAGTGGCACCGCAGAGAGCCAACAGAACGCCGGAAGACACAACCATCGGAAGGGCCTTCCATAGAGCACAAAGCTCTGCCCCAACGATGTCCATGAGCCAACCAATCGAGGCCGAAGCGAGCTCCAGCCGCACCCAGGACCCCCCCCCCAGCACATGGAATTAAAGGTCCTCCAATGGAACACAAACAAGCAGGCAGCCCTAACACTCCTAGCCCTAGGAGGCAAGGAGCAATACGACATAATATCCCTACAGGAACCGCATCGAGATCCTACTACGGACCAACCAGCCTGCCCGGCTACCGGCAACTACCACATGATATATCGCAGCGGCCGCTCAGCGATGTACATACACAAAAAACACAGAATCCGAGACTGGACAGCGATAGGAGGGGCTGACTGGGGAGGAGTGATCTTCAAGGCAACAGGCCTTCGGATAATAGGGCTCTATAGCCCAGGTGGACGGATCGGCCGGAGAGGACCGTTCAGAGAAGCCGCAGCGGCTTCGAGGGGAAATCCCTCAATAATCGTAGGCGACATCAACCAACATCACCCCACATGGGACAAACACAACAGAACATCGGGAGGAGCGGAAACAGTTATTGAACTAGCCACGCTCAACGGTTGGAGCCTCCTAACTCCGAGGGGAAGAAAGACAAGAAGCCAAAAAGGCCACAGGGATGGCACCATAGACCTCGCATGGGCATCGCAGGGAGTACAGGCCCGCCACGGAGGGGAAGCAGATATCGAAGGATCAGACCACAGACCCCAACTAATCACAGCG